GGGGGGGGGGGGGGGGGGGGGGGGGGGGGGGGGGGGGGGGGGGGGGGGGGGGGGGGAGGGAGAGAGAGAGAGAGAGGGATCAAGCGGGCTTTGGCAAACCAGGCGGGCAAAGGTGACGAGTGACCGGCATGGGCCGAGGAGGGAGGGAGGGAGGGGAAGGAAGGAGGATGACGGAGGCCGGGGGCTGGGCACCCGGGGCGGCTGAAAAGAAAGCCCGCCGAGATCGCGCCCTTCGTGTCTCCCGGGGCGCGAGAGGACCGAGGCCCTGCCTGGCCGACCGAGGCATCGGTCCTGGCGGGTGCGCACACCCCGGTGTCCGGGCCAAAGCAAGATCTGTGTGTCCGATTGACCTGAGCTTTCAAGGGACCCGGACAAACACACACACACACACACACACACACACGCACACGCACGCACGCACGCACGCACGTACGCAAGCGCATGCCCGAGCGTGGAGACCTCCGCGCCCCCGGATCCAAAGCAGCAGCACCCCTTTCGCTGTACGCGGGGCGGGGGGCTCCCTGCCTGCGGGACCAGAACGCTCGGAAACCAGAACATCTGGTGGTGGCCTCCGTGCGAAACCGATCTGGAGAGCTAATGTGCGCCATGCGCGGGATCACGCCCCCGGTGGCACATGCGTGCGCTGGCACATACGCTGGGGCCGAGCCATTGCACCCTGCCCGGGGCGCCTTTTTTTGGGCGTGCGGCCGGGGTGCGCGTCTCCACCCGGCCGGGTGGTGCAGCACCGAAACAACGACACACGCCCTCCCCCCTCCCCCTCCCCCTCCCCCTCCCCCTCGCCCTCCTCCTCCTCCTCCTCCTCCGCCGCCGCCGCTGCCGCCGTATCCTCCCTCACGCGTCTCGTCCCGCCGGCTGACCATGAGCCACGTTTTTTTCTTGGCCAACTTCCACCGCCGACCACAGGGGCAGCGGTGCCTCCCCTGGCAGCGAGGGGGCACGGGTGCACCGCAGTGGGCACATGCGCCAGCTGTGTGGGCTCCACACGGGGTGGCCGTGTCGAACGCGCGATCCTGGCATGGGGTAGCCTACCCAGATGCGCAAGTGTCGCGCGGGACGGGCGCGTCCTCGCCGCCGGCCGGCCGTCCATCGAGTGTGGCCACGACGTCCCCCAAGCCGGCTTGGCCATCGGGAGACCTGTCCGTCGGGAACGCGCCGGACGAGGGGGCATCCGACGAGGATGGGTCCTTTGCCATTGAGCTGACTCCCTCGGCAGTGGCATTCCTCCAGCGATCCGAAGCCAACCGCCTTTCCAGTACGTGAGCTGCCTCTGCTGATGTTTGCGCCGTGCTGCGTGTTGCTGACCTTGCACGCTGGTGCGTTCTCGTCCTTTGCGGGGCGGCGGTGGGGGCTTTCTCGCCGATCGTCACTTGCCTGGCTGGCGTGTACGCGTGCGCGCGTGCGTGCGTGCGTGCGTGCGCATGCGAGCAGAGAGCGCTAAGAAGGCCCGGTCCGCGGCGACCGAGGCGCGCCGTGCCGAGCGCCAGCAGCAGCAGCATGTCCGGCAGTTGGCCGAGGCCCGGCACGGCCGGCGGCGGGCGTGGCTCGAGTCCGCAGATGTCGGACCCCTCGCCGGGGATGCTGCCCCTCCCCCCGGTGGAGGGGACTTGCCGCTGGCCGAGCGGATCTCCCACTTGGAGTCCCGACTGGACGCGGCCTTCGACGAGCACCGCGGCCGGGCGGTGTGCACTTGGCCGCAGCTGGAGCTGGAATAGGGACAATCTTCGTGTCTTTCTGTCCTTCTGTTTGTGTGTGTGTGTGTGTGTGTGTGTGTGTGGCACTCCTCAGCTGGGCGGGATCCCCCTATGTGCAAGCACGCATATGTGGGTGTCCATGCGTGCTTGTGGGCCGCTGGCGCCGGTCAAACGCTCTCCTGGAGAGGAACAGCGCCTGGCCTACGACCGGAGGACGGTGACCGCTCGCAGCCCTGCGGGCTCCTTGATTAGGATGGGCTGGCGTGGCGGGGGGGGGGGGGGGGGGGGGGCCCCCGGGCCCCCTTTTGGGGGGGGGGGGGGGGGGGGGGCGCCCCCCCCCCCCGGGCCACCCCCGTCAATCGGTGCGTGGTCGCGGGGGGGGGGGGGCCCCTC